GGCGCGCTGGACGACTGGGCGCCTCCAAATTAGGGCGTGCGCCGCCGAGGCTTCAGCCAAGCTGGGCACGGAAGCGCGGAAGCGGCGGCCGCGGCGACGGCGACGGCGGAAACGCAGCGGCGGCGGCAGCGGCGGCGGCGGAAGCGCAGCGGCGGCAGCGGAAAAGCAGCGGCGGACGTGGCGGCGACGGCGACGGCGGAAGCGCAGCGGCGGCTGCGGAAAAGCAGCGGCGAGAGTGGCGGCGACGGCGACGGCGGAAGCGCAGCGGCGGCGGCAGCGGCGGCGGCGGGAGAGCAGCGGAAACGGCGAAGATGACGGCGACGGCGGCGGCGACGACGGCAACGGCGGCGACGGCGACGACGGCGGCCGCGACGGCTAGCCCTCGTCGGGGCCAGCAGCAGCGGGGTCACGGGGCCGCGGAAGAGGATCGAGGTCCGGGGCCGCGACCGACGCGGCCGCGGAGTCGCGGACCGCTGGGCACTTCCCTGCGGGCGCCTCACTGCGAGTCGGTGGCTCAAGCGAGAGAGAAACCATGACGACGCCGACAACAGTAAACGCGATGGCTACGACGGTGGCAATGACGACGACGAGGCCAATGTTGGCGCCAATGTTGATCACACCCGCCGACGACGATGACAATGTCCTCGCGTCAGTGCTGAACGCTGTGGAAGGAGTTCGACATGTGCGCGCGGCCGACGTGCGCGAGTGGCCCGTATGGTACTATTTGACAGGGATCGTGCCCCCCCCAGCACGAGCGCGAGGGCGTTCGAATGGTTCCGACATGCGGGGAGCTCGTTTGGTCGAACGTTGTGAAATGATTGAAGTACTGCTGGTTGTCTTAAGAATTCGCCAGGGCGCGCGCAGTTTTTTGGGGGAACTGATATTTCAAATGTTTTACATGTATTCGGGACACTCAATGTTGAAATACGAACGAAACCAACGGTGTTTGAAGGATTTCGGCAAGCGCGCCCGACGACGCGCGCGAGCGCAGTTCGTCCCATTCGTTGCAAGGATTTTTTGCGACAGCACGCGCGCAGGGGCGATCGGACGATTCCAACATGCGCGCGCGAGGGGCACGCTTGGTAGCAAGTGATGAACATGTTGGAAAATCGTTAGTTTCTTACGAATTCGCAGGAGCGCGAGCGCATGCGTAACCATTATTTGTTATATGTTCCTGGGCACTCGATTTTGAAATCCTTACGCAGCAAAATGGTTTTGAAGGACTTCCGCATGCGCGCGACGGCGCGCGTGTGTGCTCGCCGTCCTATCTTGTGCAAAGGACTCTTTGAAACTGATGAATGCTGATAAACGGGTGCGCGCATTGCATTTTTTCCCGAGGATGAGGGGGGGTTCGATAACTGTTCGCCTGGGATGTTACGAATTCATATTTCGGATGGACGATGGGGCAGAATCACATATGAATTGCAATACGACCAGGTGACGTGTTAAGTCAGGAGGGGAGGTAGATCCGAATGATCTTTCAGAAAAAATATACGTGGTACAATCTATGCGAGACGGCGACCGGGAGGGACTGGCGGCGACGTAGCGGCGACGGCGACCACGGAGCCGCCAGAGCGGCACAGCGGCTAAGACGACGGGCGGCGACGAGGCGGCGACGGGGCGGCGACAGCGCCAATAAAGCCGCCAGAGCGGTACACCGGCACAGACAACGGGCAGCGAGGTGGCGGCGACGGGGCGGCGAGGGCGGCCACGGAGCTGCCAGAGCGGCACACCGGCAAAGCCGACGGGCGGCGACAAGGCGGCAGCGGGGCGGCGACAGCAGCAACAAAGCCGCCAGAGCGGCACACCTGCCCTGACGACGAGCGGCGACAAGGCAGCGACGGGGCGGTGACGGCGGCAACAAAGCCGTCAGAACGGCACGCCTGCACACACGACGGGCGGCTACGAGGCAGCCACGGGGCGGCGACGGCGGCAACATAGCCACCAGTGCGGCACACCTGCCCCGCTGACAGGCGGCGACGAGGCGGCGACGGGGCGGTGACGGCGGCGACATAGCCGACAGAGCGGCACAACCGCCCAATTCCTTAGAACAGAAATAGGCACCCCTAAGTGCAAGCACGGCTTCAGGAATAAACAACTCCTCCCTATCGCACCTCCAGTTGTGTCCGTAAGGCGGGCTGGGCGTATCGCCTGAAACCTCCTCGCAACTCACGATCTTGAAGCCAAAAAACTGCAACAGCTGCACGGATGGAGGACAAGCCATTTTCAAAATGTGGCTCTCGCCTTCGCGCCGCGTACAGTCGTCTTCAGTGTCGCAATAGCTTCCCGGATGGAGGGCAAACCGTTTTCAAGATATGGCTCTGGCCTGGGCGCCGCGCAGATTCGTCATAAAAAAATCAAAACGCGGAGTTGAGGTCACTGGAATGGTCTTCTGGCAAGACTTAGGATTGCAAGGACCTAACAATCACCTTGATCCATGGAGCTAGGAACGGCGTTCTGGAACGATTGGGGGTCCTCGCACGGTTGTCTCCGAAAGGGCCACTGACCACTACGAAAAAATCCGTTTAAGCAACTATGACAAGGAAGCTCGGATGGAGGATGTCATGCAACATCGCTGATGCGTCTTGGATTTGCACGGGTCCGCCTCCTCCTCCTCCTCATCATCATCAGCAGCAGCATCATCGTCATCATCAGCATCATCAGCATCAGCATCAGCATCAGCATCAGCATCAGCATCATCATCATCATCATCATCATCATCATCATCATCATCATCATCATCATCATCATCATCATATTCATCCTCAGCAGCATCATCACCACCCCATCATCATCATCATCATCATCATCATCATCATCATCATCATCATCAGCATCATCAGCATCATTATCATCCTTCTTACCCCTCTCATTTCTCTCATCCTGTTTCTCCTCCTCCTCCTCCTCCTCCTCCTCCACCCCCTCCTCGCTTCCCTCCTCCTCCTCCGACCTCCACTGATAAAACGTGGCGGGGGGGGGCATCCGGACGACTTTTCTGACACCCCGTCTGAGCTTCCATCGCCCAGGCGGGGGCCAGCGTCAGGACCACCCCCCGCGAACAAAATTCGAAGAACGCCACTGCAGGGGGGAGCTCGAGGTGCGGTTCGGGCTCGGGCCACCCAGGGAGGTCCCTGGGCAACCCTCCCCTCTCCAGCGCGCTGAGGAATCTCCGCACGTGTTCACTAAGGACACGAGTGCAGGGTCTGGAGAGCTTCTGGAACGACCTGTGCGCACAGCCCCCACACGCACGGCACCGGAAGACACCTGCGAATCTCCAAATCTCCGTGGGAGGCATGGGTTCTACCGGGGAGCCCTGAACAGCCTTGCTGCAGCCTCTGGCCCCGCAAGCCCCTGGAGGGTGACTCGAGACCCACACTGCACCTCGGAGAGCCCGCCCGAGACCCAAAGCGACCGAATGGCTGGTCCCTTGGATGAGGTCTTGTGATCTCCCCGTGGCAGCCGGCTTCCTTCGCTCGGCCTCCACCCGTCGGTCTTCGCAACTACCGTGGGCACAGAGCTCTGGAGCATCGGTGGCGACATGCGTCGAGACCGTCGGCAGGTGCCCTTGCACCGCAGAGGCCCGCTTGTCCACCTGGGCCACTTTGGCGAGGTCCCAACCAGGGGGCTGGGCCGACCGCGCAGCCTCTTCAGCAAGCTTGCCTGCAGTGGCACTGGCATCCCAATGCTCCTCCTCCTCCTCCTCCTCCTCCTCCTCCTCCTCCTCCTCCTCCTCCCCTCCTCCTCCTTCCTCCTTCCTCCTCCTCCCTCCTCCCTCCTCCTCCTCCTCCTCCTCTCCTCCTCCCTCCTCCCCTCCTCCTCTCCTCCTCCTCCTCCTCCTCCTCCTCCCTCTCCTCCTCCTCCTCCTCCTCACATCAATCATCGATCATCGATCCTCGACTCTCCTCCTCCTCCTCCGCCTTCTCCTCCCCCTCCCCCTCTGCAGGCCTCCATAGTCCAAGCGGCCTCCCCAGGCCCGAAAGGAGCCGACAACGCCCAAAAACCCCGACCCCTTCCCCCTGTAGCAACAACATCCACAGCAGGGGACGAAGAGGACGCTGCCGCCGACGACAACGACAACGACAACGACAACGACGACGACGACGACGACGACGACGACGACGACGACGACGACGACGACGACGACGACGACGAGCGACGCGCGACGAGCGACGAATGACGACGACAACGACAACGACAACGACAACGACAACGACAACGACAACGACGACGCCTCCGCCGCCGCCGCCGCCATCCGCGCCGCTGCACCTGCTACCAAACCGCTGAAGGCCGACGAAGGCCCTCGAGGGCCAGCGACGACAACAAAGACCACCATAACGACGTGCAATGACGACGACGGTAGCAGCGACGCCTCTACCATCGCCGACATCCGCGCAGCTGACCAGGCTACTGAAGGCCGCTGGACGCAGCCGACCCAGATATCCGATGTCTTGACGTTTAAGGACGGGATCCCTGAAGCTTTTGACCACTTCCCTGGGGCCAGCTTTTTTTCCCCGATCGTTCTTGTTGACTGTCCTGGGGCACCGGCGAGGGCCTGCCAGACGCCGAAAACGAAGAACAACTTACGTCTTGTTTTTCTATACCCTGATCAATACCCCGAGATCCGACGTTGCAAAAAAAGTGCCCCATCGAAAAAAAAATCACGACCAGACCCCCAGACCCCATCGTTCTGCGTCATTCTTCGAGTCGGATCCACTTGTGAGGGTCCTGCGGCCCCGAGAAAAAAGTGAAAAAGCCCGGCTCGAAAAAGTTGAGTGGCCTGGATCGTGAACGTTTTTTCCCTACCCAGGCTCTGCCTAGAAAGGTTCTTACTCGCTTGGCTTAAAGGGGCCAGGCAGTGCAAACCGCCCCGGGCGGTTCCCCCAGTCCCCTGGGAGCCAAGCAAAAGCAACAGCAAAGGTAAAAGCAAACGCGCGGTTCCCCCAGTTGCGCTCCCTGGGTGCCAAGCAAAAGCAAAAGCAAAGGCCAAAGTGAAGGCAAAA